TGTCCCTCAGCTCTTCAGCTCAAGGCTAGCGCTGTACCACTTGAGCCACAGCGCCACTTCCGGCTTTTTTCTGTTTGCTTATGTGGTGCTGAGGAATCGAACCCAGGGCCTCAAGCATGCAAGGCAAGCGCTCTACCACTGAGCCACCTTCCCAGCCCCTGCAAGTTTTTAAAAGTTATGATCCAAGTTTACCAAAATTTGCAGTTTTTAATCTGTTAGATATGACATTACTTTTCATGATAGGAATAGATATACTTAGATTAAGGTTACTTATGTTGAATGATTGATTTATTTCTTTGCAATTTTTACTTCAACAGGTGTTTAATATCTATGTTCTAGCTAACTGCTGGTTTATATCAGTAAACCAAATAGACATGACCCTGCTTTTATAGTTGCCCAAGTCCAGTGGGGGAAGATAAACATCTAACATACAACTGACAAGGGGTCCACAAGCTAAGCACAAGGGACTCTGAAATCTGTATATGGATCGGAAATGATCACAGAATTCTTTCTTAAGGATATTTGTTGATTTCTGAAAAGGGTTGGAATGGGAGTGGGTGAAGTGTTCCAGGTAGAAGGAACAGTATGTAGGAATATTTTAATATGGAAAGGAGCATAGTACATTTGAGGAATGAAAAGGGGGGCAGAACTAATAAGGACTGAAATTCATTAAACAATTGGAAGATCACTAGATAAGGCTCAAAACCTTATTAGTTTTAGCTCTCCTGCTCACTTGGTAGGTGCTTTGGGCTACTGTATTCTATTGATCTGTCTGACCTCTTGCTTCTTTGAAATCAGTCCCATTTATTCCATGTTTGCCATCCTCCTTTACAGAAAGGTTCAGTCCCTTGGCCAAGTTTACACAACTAAGAGGCAAAGCTGAGATTTGAAGTCCATGAAGGCTCTTCCCTTCATGCAGACTTGTCTTCTACTCTCCCTAAATTCCTGTCAGTTACTGTTAAGTAAAATTGTAGAATTTAGCCAGGTCACTAAATATAAAGTTAATATTATTAAAGTCATTATATTCCCATATACGATAACGAGTAGAAACTGAAAATGAAATGTAAAGTAATAGAAATGAACCTTTAAAATGTAATTTTTTAATTTATTTTTTATTTCTAACTTTTTGCCCATCCTTGGGCTTGAACTCAAGACCTGGGCGTTATCCATGAGCTTTTGTGTTCAAGGCTAATGCTCTACCACTTGAGCCACTCCCAACTGTTTTAGAAGTTAATTGCTCATAAAAGTCTCATGGATTCTTCCTACCTGGGCTGGCTTTCAACCACCATTCTCAGGGTTGGGAAGGTGGCTCATGGTAGAGTGCTTGCTTTGTATGCATGAGGCCCTGGATTTGATTTCTCAGCACCACATAAGCAGAAAAAGCCAGAGGTGGTGCTGTAGCTCAAGTGGTAGAGTGTTAGCCTTGAGCTGAAAAGCTGAGGGACAGCATCCAGGCTCACAACCGGCCAAAAAAAGAAATACCAACTGCCATTCTCATATCTCAACCTCTTAGGTAGCTAATATATCAGGTGTGAGCCCAGCAAAATGAGTGTAATTTTTACTAACATCAAGTGTCATGAACAAATATACTGTGTAGAAAATGCTGTTTTTTTTGAGTATTTAAATTGGGTATTTTCTTGAGTGTTTAAATATCAAGCTTTTTTTTTTTCCAAAGAGCTATGGTTGGTAAATATTTCAAGAGTTACATAATTTTTACTAACATCAAGTGTCATGAACAAATATACTGTGTAGAAAATGCTGTTTTTTTGAGTATTTAAATTGGGTATTTTCTTGAGTGTTTAAATATCAAGCTTTTTTTTTTTTTCCAAAGAGCTATTGTTGGTAAATATTTCAAGAGTTACTGCTTCATATTGATTTCTTTTTATTATAGTTGATGCTGATGTAACAGTGATAGGTTCTGGTCCTGGAGGATATGTTGCTGCTATCAAAGCTGCCCAGTTAGGCTTTAAGGTAAGGTTTAATGTTAGTGTTAATTTTGTTTTCGTATGATGTAATGAATTCACCATACTTACAAAAGACCTTAGGTAAGTGCAAATTTTTTAACTGTGCAAATTATTTGTAAGTTGAAACTAGTAGAGAGAAGGTTTATATGTTTGTATTGGTCATATGGAATGGAAAATCAAGTCTTACTATTTTTCTTCTTCTCAGAGTTTTCCTTTAGCTTCCAATCAGTCTTGGGAAGACTATAATAGAAGTAAAAAAAAGACTGGTAATGTTGGGTTGAAGCCATGGCTCATTTGGTAGACCTCCAGCCAGTGAGTGAAAGCAGATGCAGGTGCTAGTTGGAGTCCCCTTTGCAGACCTAGAAAAAGGAAAGAATGATAATATTAAATGAAAACATCTTTTATAATAATTTACTGCTGGTTCCACCAGCAGATTATGCGGCAATGGGATAAAGAATATGCTCATGCAGTGTTAACATTGTGAGGCTTGAGCTCAGGGCTTGGGCGCTGTTTCTGAGGTTTTGTACTCAAGGCTAGTTCTCATCTACTTTGAGCTACAGCTCTACTGTGTTTTCTAGTGGTTAATTGGAGGTGAATCTCATAAACTTTCCTGCCCCAGATGGCTTCCAACCTGATCCTCAGATCTCAGCCTCCTGAGTAGCTGTGATTATGAGTGTGAGCCACCAGTGCCCATATAATCTTTTATCAAAACACCATGGGGCAAGGAATGGGTTAACCAACTGAGCTGGAAAAACTGAAGGCATCTTCTGCAATCTCCACATTTAAAAATTCAGATTGGCCCTGGGCTTTCTTAAGGGAGTTATGGGGAAAATGCACAGAAAAACACATGTCAAAGATGGATAACAAGAAATCATTAACTAGTGTGGTAGGCAGATTTAGTAACAGATCCAGGATACCAGGAATCACTGACTTAAGTAAATGCAAGGACTCTTGTCTCTTGACTGGATTACTGAAGAAGTACCCAGTACCCAGGGTTTTTCCAGTTTTTTGTTGTCGTTGTTGTTTGTTTTGGTCAGTCATGGGGGCTGAACTCTGGGCCTGGGTGCTCTTTCTCAGCTATTTAGCTCAAGGCCAGCTCAAGGCGAGTGCTCTACCACTTGAGCCACAGTGCCACTTCTGGCATCTTTCTGTTGATGTCCTGCAGTAGAATGGAACCCAGGGCCTCATGCATGTGAGGCAAGCACTCTACCACTGAGCCACCTTCCCAGGCCTTTCCACTGGTTTTGAAACACCAAATCAAACACTAAGGGCTCTAGGGTTTCCACTTGAACCTCAATTTTTCTTAGTCAGATGATACATTTTAAAGAACTGTTATGTTGGCTGGTAATGTGGCTTTGTGGTAGAGTGCTTGCTTAGCATGCATGAAACCCTGGGTTTGATTCCTCAATACCACATAAACAGAAAAAGGTGGATGTGGTGCTGTGGCTCAAATGGTAGAATGCTAGCCTTGAGCAAAAGAAGCTTAGGGACAGTGTCCAGGCCCTGAGTTCAAGCCCCAGGACTGGCAAAAAAAAACCCAAAACAACTGTTAGGTCAATCTATGAAAAAGCACAGTTCCAATGGCCTGCTTTGCAGGACAGTGAGGACTGTTACATTGGGATTTGAAGTACCTTAGGTTGTATGTGGCTAAGTGTTTGCTCTAATTACAGACAGTCTGCATTGAGAAAAATGAAACACTTGGTGGAACATGCTTGAATGTTGGTTGTATTCCTTCTAAGGTAAGTGTATGTTTTGAATAGCCAGAGATTTTTTTCCATGAGCCACAACTATAAGGATGTATTGAGACTAGATTATTAGAATAACATTAACGGTATGATTTTAAAAGCTTATTTTTCTGTGTAAAATTTATTTTATTTATTTACTTTTTTTGTTGGTCCTGGGGCTTAACTCTGGGCTTGAGCGCTGTCCCTGCACCCTTCAGCTCAAGGCAAGTGCTCTACCGCCTGAGCCACAGTGCCACTTCCTATTTTCTGGTGGTTTATTGGAGATAAGAGTTTCACAGACTTTCCTGCCCAGGCTGGCTTTGAACCATGATCCTCAGATCTCGGCCTCCTCAGTAGCTAGGATTACAGGCATAAGCCATCAGCGCCCGGCTCTTTGTAAAATTTAATAGAGTGCTATCACTTTTAGCCTACCACATTTTACGTGTCTAAGAATAGCTAGTTTTTCCATTCAGACCATGACCATGACGTTCCTTTTTTTTCTCTCTCTTTAGTTTTCCATTACCAATGAAAGAGATAATTCAGATAATTACCAAATTCCTCTTTTACATCTTTATGTATGTAAGCATGACTACTTTTTTTGCCTGCCATGCTAAAGGGTGTTCTTAAGCTCTAGCTTTTAAAGAAAATGAAGTTGATTTTGTTTTTCATTCCTGTTGGTTGAATTTGCCTTCAATTGATTACATAAGGAAAGAGTAAACTGATAGTCTTATGCAACTGTAATAGTCTTGTACTAGTCCATATAGAGAGGTAAAGAATGTCTTTTGATTATGTCATATAAGTGCCTTTTGATTTCAGAGAATCTGAAGATTCGATAATTTTGCCTTATTTCCTTTAGGCTTTATTGAATAACTCTCATTATTATCATTTGGCCCATGGAAAAGATTTTGCATCTAGGGGAATTGAAAGTAAGTATACTTTAGCAGTACTACTGACAAGCTTGGCCATGTGTATCATACAAGAAAATAGTGAGGGACAAGTAAGAAAGAATCTTAAAAATAAAGAGAAATTTTGAGTTCTTAGAACTCATATTAGAGAATTATGAGTTCATATTAGATCTAGATTATCTTTTGTTCCTTTACAGTCTTTGCTTGCAGTTTGCTCTGTGTGTGTGTGTGTGTGTGTGTGTGTGTGTTTTATGTGAGCAGAGAGTTGGTTTTCATGCCACATACACCTAGGGATCACTGGGAAGGCTGGATTCTTGAGTCCATAAATAGGTTAAGGAAGGCCTGTTGCCTAAGTTATTGATAGAGTAAGAGAAAGGTAAAGCTTAGAGGAAAAGTAGAAGTACATTTCATAACATTTGAATTTGGTATGTCTTACCTTCTGCCATAGGTTTTTGTGTTGTTTTCATCATTTCTCTCCAATTGCTGTTATTGAAAGATAATTCCAGAAGCATAGTCTGGTCTAGAAAAGACTAAATATACCCTGGGGTTTTACTCTTACTTAGTTTCTTTATAGTTGTAGACTTATAAGAAAGGGCATAAGGAACCCAGTGTAGCTGGGCACCGGTGGCTCATGCCTAGCTACTCAGGAGGCTGAGATCTGAGGATTGCATTTCAAAGCCAGCCTGGGCAGGAAAGTCCATGAGACTCTTATCTCCAATAAAACCACTAGAAAAGCAGAAGTGGTGCTGTGGCTCAAGCTATAGAGCACTCGCCTTGAGTTGAAGAGCTGAGGGACAGTACCCAAACCCAGAGTTCAAGCCCCACAACCAACCAAAAAAACAAAAAACCAGTGTGTGCATGCACCAAAGCAAATATGTATAACTTCATGAGTTAGAAGTCAGAAGAGATAGAGTAGTCAAGAGACACACATTGTTGGAAGTGGTGCTGTGGCTCAAGTGGTAGAGAGCTATCCTTGAGCTGAAGAGTTCAGGGACAGCGCCCAGGCCTAGAGTTCAAGCCCTATGACCAACCAAAAAAAGAGAGACACATATTGTTGGCAAGGCTTTACATTCTTGTTCTGTGACCTCGGTAAATTGGAAATCCATCTAGTCTATTTCCTTACCTCTAAGGTCTGTGTTGGTTGCATGAACTGATTGCTAAGACAATTTTATCTCTACAGTTCTATTGAGTTAAGAATTTTTATCTCGGGCTGGGAAGGCGGCTCAGTGGTAAAGCGCTTGCCTTGCATGCCAGAGGCCCTGGGTTCCATTCCTCAGCACCACATAAGCAAAAAGAAAAAAGCCGGAAGTGGTGCTGTGGCTCAAGTGGTAGAGCACTAGCCTTGAGCTGAAGAGCTGAGAGACAGTGCCCAGGCCCAGAGTTCAGGCCCCACGACCAGACCCAAAAAAAAAAAAAAGAATTTTTATCTTAACATGGTTGCTTCAGAGTTTTCTTCTGAGTTGGGATTAAAATCTAATAGTTGATTGAAACACTGTTGTATTAAATTGCTATACTTGAAATTGAAATATACATTTAAGTTTTTGATTTTATGAAATTTAGCATTTCCCTTTATTTAAAAGTTAGATACTATTTTACTTTGCCATTGTACTTTAAATGTCCACCGGGTAATAACCATTATAAAAGAAGGGCATAGAATGTGTCACTGTGGGACATGTTCATTACAGTGTTTTTGTTGGTAGTACTGGACTTTGAACTCAGGGTTTTGTGTTTGCTAGGTGGGGCTATACCACTTTACTCACATCCCAGACCATAATATTTTGTTCAGGGCTGCATTTTTATCCAAGACGTACATTTAACATTGATAGGTTCTGTTATTGTTACATGGTGATGTCAGCCTTTTTTCTTTTTAAAATTTTATGTACTTTTTTAATATAATTCCATATGATTATAAATTATATAATTTTTTTTTTGTCTATTGTGGGGCTTGAACTCTGGGCCTGAGTACTGTCCCTCTCTTTAGCTCAAGGAGAACGCTCTGCTGCTTGAGCTATAATTCCACTTCTGGTTATCTAGTGGTTTATTGGAGATGAGAGTCTCACAGACTTTCCTGCCTGGGCTGGCTTTGAACTGTGATCCTCAGATCTCAGCCTCCTGAATAGCTAGGATTACAGGCATGAGCCACCGATGCCCAGCTGAAAGTATATAATTTTAAAAAATAATTCTTTTATATAATTCTGTCAACATTAAGCAGAAATCTTTCAACCCTAATGAATAAAAAATACTACATTGTTTCAAAAATTTAGCTAAGGACTTAAGATTTCTTTGACCAATTGCAGTGACTGGAGTTCACTTGAATTTAGAGAAGATGATGGAACAGAAGAGTACTGCAGTAAAAGCTTTAACAGGTGGAATTGCGCATTTATTCAAACAAAATAAGGTTGGTGTTCACATTTCTGCTTGATTTTGTATGTACATCAAACACTCTATTCTAAAGAGTGATGCTATTTGAACAACTTGGCTGCTGGGGAAATTTAAAGTAATGCTGACCTGAACTAGATTTGCATGGTATAAAAGTATTTGCTGGGCTGGGAATGTAGCATAATGGTAGAGTACTTTCCTAGCATGCATGAAGCCCTGGGTTCGATTCCTCAAAATAAGAAAAAACTGAAAGTGATGCTGTTGCTCAAGTGATAGAGTGCCAGCCTTGAGCAAATGAAGCTTAGGGACAGTGCCAAAGCCCTGAGTTCAAGCCCCAGGACTGGCAAAAAAAAAAAGTATTTGCTGCCACATGTGTAGTGTTTATGAAGGAAGTATATTAGAAATTACAGAGCATTTTTCCTTTTATCTGTGTATATTAATCAGAAAAAAATCCTTTAAACTTTGAAAATTTATAAAAATTTATTTTACAAAGGTTGTTCATGTCAATGGCTTTGGAAAGATAACTGGCAAGAATCAGGTCACAGCTACAAAAGCCGATGGCAGCACTCAAGTTATTGATACAAAAAACATTCTTATAGCTACGGGCTCAGAAGTTACTCCTTTTCCTGGCATCACGGTATTTATGCTTCTTTATTCCATACAACTGCTAACCTAAGTTTTGTAAATCGCTTTATGCTGTTCATGAATTTTAAGTGCGATTTGTGATCAGAATATTGTACTTTGACAATCATTCAGTCTGGGAAAGTTTCCCATTTTTTTCCTGCATTGATTTTCACTAGACAACATTTTATTAAACATTTGAATTCAATGTGAAGTTAAATCATTTTGTTTTGGAATACGGAATGGTAAAATTTAAGGGTAGCATTTTTATTAATATATTTTACTTTTTAAATACTGTATTTGGTCTTTAAAAAAGTTTTTCTAACATTTTCAACTGATTTGATAAAATTGAGTATGTAGAAAAAACAAGTAGCTGAATACTTTTAGTGATTTTTGTGAAGTGAGGTCATAATTAGTAAATGACTGGATTTTTTCAAATAATTTTGGTTGCGTGTTTGCTTTTCTAGATTGATGAAGATACAATAGTATCATCTACAGGTGCTTTATCATTAAAAAAAGTTCCAGAAAAGATGGTTGTTATTGGTGCAGGTGTGATTGGTGTAGAATTGGTAAGTTTTTTTGTGTGTTTTTACATTTTTTTTTTTTTGCCAGTACTGGGGCTTGAACTCAGTGCCTGGACACCGTCCCTGAACTACTTTTTGCTCAAGGCTACCTTTCTACCCCTTGAGCCACAGTGCCACTTCGGGCCTTTTCTGTTTATATCGTACTGAAGGATCAAACCCAGGGCTTCATGCATGCTAGGCAAGCATTCTACCACTAAGTCACATCCCCAGCCAAGAATTGGTAAGTTTTGTCTTTCTGTTTCTTAATCACTTGGAAGGGACTTAGTGCCCTATGTGGTTCCTTTTATAACATCTTAGGCTAGTCAGCCTTGTGCTTTGCTTAAACATTGTTGGTAATAGCAGATGCACTTTTTCTTCCAAGACAACTTTGAGGTAATCATTAGTCATTAGAATAGTCTCATTTATTTTATAATCTGCTTCTGTTTCTGTTCTTTGATACTGATTTCTTTGTTAATTTGACACAGCATTCAACATTATATGACAGTTCTTATTCTGAGCAAAAATCACACACGGTACAACATACATGATACGAGTCTTCCTTACATGTGTTGGAAATTCATGCCAAACCATTTACAATTCTCTGTGCACCTTGTTCTTTTGTCTTTCTGCCTGACTTGTTCTTCCTTCTTGTCCATCCAGCAACTTCCATGTATCTCCATTGATCCTTTTACTATGTTGTAGGTATCCTCTGTGCTATCCCATCTCGTCATCACCAAGAATCACACTATTCTGAAATCATGAATTCAAATACCGTGTTCTCTAACCACAGTCTCCTTTATTTACTACTCCTAGTACACTTTTTATTTTTATTTTTTACATTGTTAGTATAAATGTGATGTTCAGAGAGACAATAGTTACACAAGTCAAATAATGAGTACATTTCTTTGTGGACAATGTCACTCCTTTACCTGGTATACTTTTGTATTCTTCATTGTTGGCACACTTTGTAGTCCAGAAATCCCCTGCTTTTTGTTGTGTTTCCTAATGTTTTCCTATCTCTTGACCGATTTCCTAATTGGTTTGATTCCATTGTTACTCACATCTGATACTTTTCTGATATAACTTGCTTGGCAAACTTGTCTTGGCTAAATCCAGCTGTCTCCTTATACTTTTCTGACATAACTTGCTTGGCAAACTTGTCTTGGTTGAATCCAGCTGTCTCCTTTTTAAAATACTATTCTCAGGGTGTTAACTGCACCTGAAGGAAATCAGACCCTCTAGATTGGTGCCTGTATAAATGTTTGTTCTCAGACTTCAGCAGAACTCAGCCTTTTTGTGCTCAAGGCTAGTGCTCTACTATGTGAGCCACAGCGCCACTTCCAGCTTTTTCTGAATAATTTATTGGAAATAAGAGCCTCACAGATTTTTCTGTCCAGGCTGGCTTTGAACTTCGATCCTCAAATCTCAGCCTCCTGAGTAGCTAGGATTACAGGTGAGAGAGACCAGTGCCTGGCTTTTACTTTTGACCTTCCTTCAAGATCGTTGAAAACAAGAACTGAGTTTTAGTGATATCTGAGTCTGAATGGTAATCATTTAGTTTTTTTTGCCAGTACTGGGGTTTGAACTCGGAGCCTGGTAGTAGGCCAGTGGTAGACAGGTGCTCTACCATTGGACTCTGTGGGGTTATTTGAACCCTTATTTGAACCATTCTACTGTGTACTGCACTATCTCATTTCAGTTTTAATTTACATTTCTTTAGTGATTTACTTGAGTTTTATGTGTTTATCATCTGTCTGTCTTTCACATACTTTTCAATCTAATAGGTATGTGGTTTGACTTGCCCTTGTACTGTTTGAACCACACCCCAACCCTCTTTTGATAAAGAGTCTTCCATTTTTCCCCAGGCCTGGCCTTAAACTGAGATCTTTTTACTTACTTACTTTTTACTCTAATGTAGTTCAAATCATAGGCTTGTACCCCATGTCCTGTTTATTGAGATGGTTTCTCTCTGTGTCTTTGCCTAGGCTGGCCACAAGCTGAGCTTCAGATTTCCACCTTCTGAGTAGCTGGGATTAAGTTTGTTTGCTTTTTAATCATTGAGTTTAGAGAGTTTTATTATCTTTTATCTTTTTTCATTGTTATTATAAAGGTGATGTACATAGGGGTTACAGTTACATAAGTCAGGTAAAGAGTACATTTCTTTTTGGACAATGTTACTCCTTCCCTTACTCTCCCAGTTTTCCCCTCCTGTTCCTACCTACAGGTTGAATAGTTCATTTTCAACATAGTGTCTAGTGAGTACCACTGCTGCATTTGTTCACTCTCTGTCTGTGGCTTTTTTTAAATTCAATTTTTTTTGTTTTGTTTATATGGTACTCAAGAATTGAATCCAGGGCCTCATGCATGCTTAGGCAAGCACTCAGCCACTAAGCCACATTCCCAAACCCAGTCTGTGGCTTTTATTTTCCTGTGCTTAACACTTCTGAGAATGCAGTTTTGATGAAGTCTAATTTATCATGTTTTGTTGGTTTGTTTTAAGAATTATGCTCTTGGTGGTGTGTCTAAGAAATCTTTGCCAGCTTCCAGTATCAGAGATTATATTTGGGTTTTCTTCTAAAAGTTTTGTAGTCTTAGATTTTAGATCCATCATCCATTTTGAGTTAATTTTTATTGTTGTTTTGTTTTGCTTTTTTTTTTTTTTTAATTGGTTGTGGAACTTGAACTCTGGGCCTGGGTGCTGTCCTGAGCTCTTAAGCTTAAGGCAAGCACTCTACCGCAGAGCCACTTCTGGTTTTCTGGTGGTTAATTGGAGATAAGAATCTCATGGACTTTTCCTGCCTAGGCTGGCTTCAAACAGCTATCCTCAGATCTCAGCCTCCTGAGTAGCTAGGATTTTACAGGTGTGAGCCAAAGGTGCTCGACTGAGTTAATTTTTGTATGTAATTATTGGATTTTTAATGACCTCTTACTAATTTAGCTCTCATCTACAAAATAAATGGAATTGATAAAGTGAATGTACAAACCTAATTGAAAAGGCCAACTCAGGTAATTTTGTTATGAGATGATTGTGTGTGTGTGTTTGTTTGTGTGTGTATGTATGTGTATGCACGCATGTGTCAGTCCTGGAGATTGACATCAGGGCCTGGGCACTGTCCTTGAGCTTTTTTGCTCAAGACTAGCACTCTGCCACTTGAACCATAGCTCTATTTCTGGCTTTTGTTGTTAATCGGAGATAAGTTTCACGGAGTTTCCTGCTTGGGCTAGCTTCAGACTGTTAATCCTCAGATCCAAACCTCCTCAGTAGCTATGATTACAGGTGTGAATTACTGATGCCTAGCTACTAGATGTTTTTAATGTAAGTTTTTTCCAAGGATTTGTTCCTAGTGTTTCATATTTAATTCAGTAGTAAACTTAAGTTCATCTTGCTTACATGTAGCTTTATATATAATTCAGAAATTATGCTAATGGGTAAAATATTGAGGAAAAAACACTTTAGTTTGAATTACTTAACACCAGTGTGTATTAGGAGTAAGAGCCTAGTTTTCTTCCCTGGGCTTTTGGACTTAACTTTTCCCTTTTGCCAGTTAACACTCTTCTGGCAGTTGTCTGTTCATTCTCTTCTTTCACTGCTTCAAGTCTTTATACAAGTGGTGTTCACTCAGTGAAGCCTTCGCAAATCACACTGTTGAAGGTTGCAGTCCTCTTTCAGTAATCTCAGTTGGCTGGATTTTCTCATAGCACTGTTCTGTCATCTAGGGTAAATTTTATCTATCCATTTCCTTTTCAGGGAGCTTTATTGTTGTCACTAACATACCTAGAGGCTGAGAGGTGTCTAGTGTGCACTAGGAGCCCAGTGAATGTTGAGTAAGAGAGTAAGTGTATTAAGTAACACCTGCTGACCCCAGGTTAAGTGTAAGCTGCTAATTAGCAAAAGAAGAAACTGCTATACAGTATATTATTTAAGATGATTTATTTAAGATGATTTAGTAAACATTCGATGTGGACATTCACTCTGTATGATTATCAGGGTTATTTTTGGATTGTTGTTTCCAGGGTTCAGTTTGGCAAAGACTTGGTGCGGATGTGACAGCAGTTGAATTTTTGGGTCATGTAGGTGGAATTGGAATTGACATGGAAATATCTAAAAACTTTCAACGTGTACTTCAAAAGCAAGGTTTTAAATTTAAATTGAATACCAAGGTCACGGGTGCCACCAAGAAGTCAGATGGAAAAATAGATGTATCGTAAGTATGTTACATTTGTTTTTGATATATCATATTTGTTTCTTTAAGAAACACTCAGGTTTTCAAAATCAGAAAAATAAACATAGTTTTGATAACTGAAGGCCATTCTGTTGCTTAATATGCTTATCAATAGTTAATTTAGTGCTAGAAATTTTAGTTAGATGTCATTGTAACATGTTTTCATAATACAAATTAGACCCATACATGAGGAAATCAATATTATCAGTTTATTTGGCACTCTATTAAATACTTAGGCAATTTAATGAAATAACTTGGCTAAGGACAGTATTAGTGAGTTCAGTTAGTGCTGGATGTTTCTTACTGAGATTTTTGGTGGTGGTGTTGGTTTTGGGGGTAGTAGTGATGCTGGTGCTGGAGATCAAAGCCAGGGCTTTGTGATGTTAGGCCAGGCAACTGTTCTACCACCAAGTCATGTCCTTAGCCGTGAAATCTATGTGTATCTGTGTTTGTTTTTTTTTAAGGAAGTTGTTTCTTTGAGATAGAATCTACTATGCTAATCCAGACTGGCTTCAAGCTTGGAATTCTCTTCCTTTCCAAATACCCTTCACCCCTACCTGTGCCATGTATGACAGGATTTGAACTCAGGGCCTTGTGCTCTCACTCAGTTTTCTTCCTCACAGCTGGAGTTCTACCTTAAGCCACACACCTTCACAACATTTTGCTGGTTGACTTGAGGTGATGGCTTACAGACTTTTCTTCCCAAGCTGGCTTCTCTAGGTCTATGCATCCTGATGTGGCTTACTCATGTGAGCCACCAATTCCTGCCTTGAATTAACATACATTTGCAATATGTGGAAGTTTTATTGTGATATTTCCATACATATACATAGTGCACTTTGAACTCCACCTCCACCATGTTTTTTTCCCTCCTTCCCACCTTTTCCAAGTAGTACTTGGTAGGTTCATCTTACTATATTCATATGTATATTCATATGTATATTCATGAATATATTTTATATATAAATACAGCATATATCTATATATGTATTATATAGAGATATATAAAATACCCATTGATCGTCACCTTTTCCGTATCCCTTCCAAACCTTGTTAAACATCTTATTACACTGTGTTTTTAATTATATTTTATTTAGTTATACAAAGGAGCCATTCAAATCAGTCAAATGAGTTTATGAACACAGTGCATCTTGATTGATGTTGGCCCTTTCATCATCACCACTTATTCACTCCTGTCCCTCCCAAACCCCTCTCAATTTTCTTTTTCCTTTTTTTTTTTTTTTTTTTGTGCTGGTCCTGACCCTGAGCTTTTTTTGCTTGAGGTGTACTTGAGACATGGTTTTGCTTCTGGCTTTTTTGGGTTAAGTGTCATGGACTTTCATGTCAGTGCTGTCTTTGAACTATAATCCTCAGATCTCAGCTGTCTGAGTAGCTTGGATTATAGGCATGCCACTGGTACTCTGATCAGTTTTCTTTTTGTTGGTTGTGGGGCTTGAACTCAGTGCCTGGGGCTGTTCCTGAGCTTTTTTGCTCAAGGCTAGCACTCTACCACTTTCAGCTACAGTACCACTTCTAGTTTTCTGAAGGTTAATTAGAGATAAGAGTCTTGACTGCTTCCTAGACTGGCTTTGAACCACAATCTTCAGATCTCAGCTTCTTGAGTAGCTAGGATTACAGTCACGAGCCACCAACTTCCTGGTCAGTTTTATTCCATGGGCTATGTATTCTCCCCCTTCCTTTCAACTTCTGGTTTCCTGGTATTCATTTTGTTGGAGTTTTTCTAAAGAATTGCACTGTTTGAATTCTTCCCTACAAATATTATACTTTGGTTAACCCGTTTATGTATAGTTGTATACAACTCTGTACTTGTACGTTTATAAACCAGATCTAGCTTCTACATTTGAGATAAAACATGTATCCTTTGTCTCTCCGGGCCTGACTTCACTTAACATAATTTTTTCCAGGTCCATCTGTTTCTTTGAAGTGATGGAATAGTTTTCCTTCTGGATGAATTAAATTCACTGCCTGTTTTGACTTGTTTTTATAATGAATCTTTATTATCAGAAATATCATTAGTCCTTGAAAAGTTTGAAATATTAAAATGTTACCTCTGTCATAAACTATGTAGACTTGTGTTTACGAGTTAAACTCTGCTCATTATTTAGCATTGAAGCTGCTGCTGGTGATAAAGCTGAAGTTATCACATGTGATGTACTCTTGGTTTGCATTGGCCGGCGACCCTTTACTCAGAATTTGGGACTAGAAGAGCTTGGAATTGAACTAGATCCCAGAGGTAGAATTCCAGTGAATAGCAGATTCCAAACCAAAATTCCAAAGTAAGTTCGGTAATTATCTTAACTTTTCCTACTATTTTATACTAGCAGTGTCATATATGCAAACATTTCCAGCCAGGTCATCATTTTATGTAATTATCAACAACAAAATGTAATAGTGAGGAAGACTTTGGAAATCTTTTTTTTTTTGGGGGGGGTCTAGTTGTGGGGCCTGAACTCTGGGCCTGGGTGCTGCCAGCCCCGACTTTGAAAATCTTTGAGAGGGGCTGGAAAGATGGCTCAGTGGTAGAGCGCTTGCCTTGCATGCATGAGGCCCTGGGTTCGATTCCTCAGCACCACATAAGCAGAAAAAAAAAAAGCCAGAAGTGGCGCTGTGGCTCAAGTGGTAGAGCGCTAGCCTTGAGCTGAAGAGCTGAGGGACAGTGTCCAGGCTGAGTTCAGGCCCCACGACTGGACCAAAAAAAAAGAAAAATCTTTGAGGGCTGGGAAGGTGGCTCAGTGGTAGAGCGCCAGCCTTGAGCTGAAGAGCTGAGGGACAGCGCCAGGCCCAGAGTTCAGGCCCCACGACCAGACCCCCCCCCCCAAAAAAAAAACTTTGATAATTATTGTGATTTTAAATTAAGAACATTTTCTGCATTTTGAATATCTTTCTTAAATGGTATTATTTCATACACTATTTTGAAAATAAGATTTGTGTCATGCTTAAAAAATGTCTTGGCTTTGGGAAAAAACATATTTAGAAGATAATTAAATAATTCTAATTAAATATAACTGTTTTCATTGCTCTAAGATTAAGAATCTGAACTTGGATTTTAGAAGAGCTGCCTCTGAAATATTTTGGGAGCACTTAGTAGCTCAAAGCATATTTTTGTTCTGGTGGTGTAAATAAAATACCTTTGATTTCAGAAGCTCACTTTTTGTTTGGTTTGATCTCTGTGGTAGTATCTATGCTATTGGTGATGTGGTCGCTGGTCCAATGCTGGCTCACAAAGCAGAGGATGAGGGCATCATCTGTGTTGAAGGAATGGCTGGCGGTGCAGTGCACATCGACTACAACTGTGTGCCATCAGTGATTTACACACATCCGGAAGTTGCCTGGGTTGGCAAATCAGAAGAGCAGTTGAAGGAAGAGGTAATCCTAGATGTGGATGGAATTAACCCCATCATGCAGAATTGAGCTATTGACAGTAGTAGCTGAGAAAGGGCATCTTGCATTAATATTTTTAATTACTGTAGAGTACACTAAGTCTTGTATTTTTTTTCCCTCTTCTAGCATCATAAAGAGATCATTCTTAGATCTGCCAGCAGTAAAGTAGGGAAGAATAAGCTACCTGTGTTTAAAAAAACTCCACAGCTTTTGTATTTGGCTTTGAAATATAACCACACTTTTATAGACATACAGGCCAACATAAATATTTGCTTACATTAGTTGTAGCTTCTGTATGCTCTGTGAATATCTTTCTCCTTGGGATTTATTTTCTGAACAAATGATAGAAAATGAACTTATTCATTGCTTATATAGGTTCTTATCTTGTCTCACAGGGTATTGAGTACAAAATTGGGAAATTCCCATTTGCTGCAAATAGCAGAGCTAAGACAAATGCTGACACAGATGGTATGGTGAAGATTCTTGGCCAGAAATCAACAGACAGAATACTAGGAGCACATATTTTAGGACCAGTGAGTATTCTAAAGGCAGATAAATATACCATTAAGATTTTTGGAAAGCATTAATAGTTATAAGTTAATTTTATACTACCTGTTTACATCTTGATGTTGCTACTGACTGATATGCTGCATATTTTGTGTGCGTGTGCGTGCGTGTGTGTGTGTGTGTATGTGTTGGTATTAGGGCTTGAACTTACCGTGTACTCTTGCTTAGGTATCTTGCTTACAATTAGTATTTACCACTTCGGTCACACCTCCAGATGAGTGTTTTACTTGTTAATTGGAGATGGGAGTCTCAGACTTTCCTGCTCAGTCTGGAGATCCTCTGTCTCATTCCTGAGTAGTTAGGATTACAGGTTTGAGTTATAGCACCTAGCTTATCTAGAGTGCCTCCTAGTACTCTTGGCAGTATTGCTTGCCCTATCATCTACTTTCTATACTTTAGATAGGTTACTCTTCTAAAACAGACCAAGCCACTTTCCCACTTCAAACCTTGCAGTAGTATTTTTCAACCTGAGATTTGTATTTGAGGCTTCTCTGAATGTATTCTGCCCTGCCTACCTTTCTGACCCCATCTTTGCTCATTAATTTCTTGCCATATCAGTCTTTTTTTTATTATTGTGAAAATAGCATACAGAGGGGTTACAATTACATGGTCGAGGTAATGAGTACATTTCTTATCAAGCATTGTTGCCTCTTCCCCTTCCCATCCCTTCCTATGTCCCTCCCCCCCCTGCACATCCCCCCTCCCCACCTCTCCCCCCACTCCCCCGCCAAAGTTTGTTTTCGACATAACGACTTTACATTTCATTGTTGCAATGGATCCACCTGTATCCCTATTTAAACGATTTGTTTTCCCTTCCCCTCCACAAATTATCCCAACATCAAATAAAGTGAGAGCAGGGTTTATATCGTGGGGGAGGGACATACAAAGTAACAAAGAAATCATCTTATAAATATGTTAGAAACAATCTCAAGAAAGAAAAAACATTTGAGTCCTTATCTTGGGGTTCATTTCACTTAATATCAGTATAGTTTTTACGCAGTTGACTTAAAAGACCTAGTGTGTTCACTTTTTAGAGCCTTTTTGCTTAAAGTACCCTCTACCTAGAAAGCTCTGCCTCCAGACCTTTGTATGACTCGTTCTTGCTCAGGCCTTAGCTCAGCTGTCACCTTCTAAGGAAAGCCCTAAGACAGCACTAAGTGTAAAACTTGTTCTCCATATAGGCATCTGAAAGAGAAGAGAATATTTGAGTGTTTCTAGTTACTTTTTTCCTAAGTATACACACATTGGCCTTCTTTCAGTTTTGCAGCCACTTGTAAGGTAGGTGCTATTTTTGAAGTATAGAAACTGAAGCACATATAGCCAATGTGTGGTTGAGGTTGCAGAGCAGCAGGATTAGCCATCTAGACTATCTGACATGAATCCAAGCTCTTCTGTCACCTTTTATGCTTTTCCTTACTCTTCCTCAACTGCTGTAATAGTTTTAAGAAAATGTTAAGTTCTCAAAGCGAGTCTCTTATTAATCATTGCTGTTTATTAACATGAAGGTTTGGCCCTGGAAGTAAAATTTCTTCTTGGCTTATTTTAAGGGTGCTGGAGAGATGGTAAATGAAGCTGCTCTGGCTCTGGAGTATGGTGCATCCTGTGAAGATGTAGCTAGAGTCTGTCATGCACATCCGGTAATTATTAGCAGCGTACAGAATGGGTATCTCAATTTTCTTCTACCCCATCAAAATGTGTTTTTTAATTCTACATTTCTTCCTTTGCAGACCTTATCAGAAGCTTTTAGAGAGGCAAATCTGGCTGCATCATTTGGCAAACCAATCAACTTTTAAACTAGAAGATAAATTTTTTTTCTGTAAGTTTCTGGAAGCTTTTGTAGAGGTCACATTTCTGATCAGCATATGCTCACAGTTCCAAGAAATTCTAAGGATTGAAGTAGAAGGCATTTCATGGGCATGGACAGAATGGAATAATTTTATACGTATCTATATTTTAAATATTTTATTTCAGTGCATTAGCATGTGGGACAGACAAAGCTCTGATAGTAACATCCTGGGAAGTTTCCATCAAGCCATATTTTCATGCTATTTATGAAGGGTACAGCTTTACTGAATTAATGTTACATGGCTTTTATCTTTTTTTATAAGGAACTACAGTATGATATGTGAACAGCTGTATTTGAAGGAAAATGATCAAGTTAAATTTGGTATTCATATTGGAAAGAAGATTCAAATATGTATAAACTGAACACATATAAATAAAAGTGACCACTTGTTTTATTTAACTCCTAAAATCTTGCAATTTAGATTTGGATTTGGGTTTTTAAGATTCTGTTGAGGTCTACAAGTCTGAAGGATAGTTACTCAAAATGTCTACAAAACCTCAAATATTAAATGGAGATTAAAATGTATTATAGCAAGCAATGGAGACATCAAAATAAACATCTTAAATAGTCATTTATTAGTTATTCTGAGTACATTTTTAGATGGTCCTAATTCTTTTGACTAGCTCTATTACATTTATTATTTTATAAGGCTGTGTCTTGTATTTGTAATCCTAAGATTTTTGTTGTTGGTAGTCGTGGGGCTTGAACTGTAGGTCTGGGCATTGTCCCTCAGCTCTTCAGCTCAAGACGAGCACTGTACTACTTCAGCCACAGTGCCACTTAAGAGTTTCATGGACTTTCCTGCTTGGCCCGGCTTTGAATCACTATCCTCAGATCTCAGCCTCCGTAGTAGGATTACAAGTGTGAGCCACCTGCGCCCGGCTAATGCTAAGATATTTAAAGGTTATTATTCTTTCATCTGTTTTACAGGGATCTACTCAGTGGTTAAAAAAAATTTCTGGAGAAGTATAACCTAAATATTTAATCCCTGTGTTCTACATGGCAAATGATTATTTCTTAAAGTGTTAGAAAAACTGCATTTACTGATAAATGTTTTAAGATAGTTTTTTATCTTAGGACCAAGTACTAAAAAAAGTTCAGTAGGTTTTTGTGTATTATAACTAGAATCAGAGCATTTCAGATTATGGAGTTCCAAATTTTGGTTTTGATAGCATAGATTTCTAAAGAGGAAAGTAAAAAAATACTAGAGATAGTCGACTCTAGGTGTCCGATTCGGACCGCTGCAGTTCCTCACTGGCGTTCGCCCTCGCCTTGCTGCCTGCCTTCTGAGCTAACCATGCTGGCACATCTCAATGTACTCCCCACACAGATGGATTACAAGGGACAAAAGCTAGCTGAACAGATGTTTCAAGGAATTATTCTTTTTTCTGCAATAGTTGGATTTATCTATGGGTACGTGGCCAAACAGTTTGGGTGGACAGTCTATAGTTATGGCCGGATTTGCTTTTTCGTGTTTGCTGACACTTCCTCCATGGCCCATCTATTGATGACCTCCCCTCAAATGGTTACCTGTTCAAGACTCAGGAACAGAAGACAAGAAAACAGGGATAGAAAAATTAAGAGGCATGCTAAAAATAATTGATTGGGGTTTTCTTTTTTTTTATTTTTTAGAGTTTAATAAGATTTTAATAATATTGGTAGGGAGCCAACTCACAAGATGGCCCTGGAATACAGCATATAAAGAAACCTCAGAGACAAAAATAAAAACTCATGAAAACATAAGAGCACTCTAAAAAAGGGAATAATCTTTAGGATAAAGAAACCATTTTCTCAATAAAAGTACTGAACATGTTTAATAAAGATTAAATGAGATTAAAGATAAGACACGTGGCTCGTATATTCCACTTACAGTGATTAGGCTAAAGCATTCAGGAAGCAACAATGAGCTCCAATCCCCAACAGTGTATAGTAACAGCCTCTGGGAAGTGGGGGGGGAGGGGCCACGTGGAGAAGTTCTCACAACCCACTTACAGGACAGGAATGCACAAAGATAAGAAGCCAAAACCACAGGGGTCCCCACCCCCCAGAGAGATGATATGCCACTCCCTGGTGTGACAGGAGAGGCGGGAACAGAGAAGATACTCCTGCTCAGGGGCACTGATCATCTGCCAGACCAGCTATGCCATCCTATCCAGTTCTTCTGGGTGGGTAGATGGGGGGGTTTCCCTCTACAGCAAATACTTTAATACTACTGTCATTCGGGCTTGATTTTTTTTTCCAAGGCCACTACATGCTATGCTTCATTTGGGCCAGATGTTCACATCAGCATGTCTGCTCATCCCCGCTAAGAACCAAATATTATTTACATGAGGAGTGACTACTGAAACCTAGTGGATAGCAGAGCCACCAGCCTCCCAGCCATACACATCATAAAGGAGGGGACACCTGAGATCCAGCCCATTAGGACAGGCCCTCATTTTCAATCCTAAATCAATAATCTAAACAGATGCGGACTGCATGTCACGAGAGGGTCCAAAGGGAGACTTGAGGCTGTGTACTCTTTAGATGTCTACTTGGCTGCACTGGCTATTAAAAAGTTATGTGCAACTTCCAAACAAAAGACATCAGCAACATCTTAGAGGAAAGTCCCAATTCCTGAAGATAGAACTCACTGAGGCTTCTAACTCTTTTGGCTGTTAATTGAATCAAAGTCAATGACAATCTTGTTGCACTCGGGTGAGAATTTCCTGAACTTAACCCCGGCCATCTCAAACATGAGCCTTGCAGCTCTTGTCTCATCACTGTCACGGTATTTATCAGACATGAAAATCACTTCTTGGGCTGGGAAGGTGGCTCAGTGGTAGAGCGCTTGCCTTGCATGCCTGAGGCCCTGGGTTCAATTCCTCAGCACCACATAAGCAAAAAAGAAAAAAGAATCACTTATACCTGCCTGGATGATGAGTTTAGCACATTCATTACATGGGAACAGAGCAGCATAGATAGTACAGCCCTTCACGTCCGCCGAATTCTTGTTCATGATGGCATTCAGCTCAGCGTGACACACACAGGGGTATTTGGTATCCAACTTACTCTCCGCTGTCCTACTCCGAGGCAACTGGTCATCGCTGCACCCGTTGGGCATTCCACTGTACCCTATCCCAACGATCTTAATTTCAGCATTCACAATGCAAGCTCCAACCTGGGAATTTGGATCTTTGCTTCTCTGTGCTGACAAAAAGGCCACCGCCATGAAATACCACTCCAAATAGTCATCCCGTTTTTTGCAGGAAACTTTGGTCATGTTGAGTCCACGTGCGGCTTCATGCACAGCAGAGCACAGGATTTAATCACCGCAGGAGCGGGGTGCCAAGCACTGCCAGAGCTGGAGACACCAGGTCAAAACGAGGAGCAGACCGGGGGTGAGGGCTTCAGTAGCTCCAGGGTGGTGAATGGCTCGGGGGGTGCAGTGGGCCACGGAGGCCGCGGCATGGGGTGCTGAGAACCAGGCAGATCCAGTAAGGACTGTCACCCCGCCGGCTGCCCGGCTGATGCCCGCCACCCGCCAGGGCCCGATCCGCGGGCCTGCAGGCCGGTGCTTGTCCCAGCCGCCGCCGCCGCCGCCGTCCCGAGCCCGAGAAGCTGATTGGGGTTTTCATGACAACACCCACTTTCGTTTTCTCTGAGATGAGCTAAATTGCTATCATAACCAAATAATGAGATTAAAACTCCCTATGTTCAAACACAGCTGCATATAGATTTAGTTTTCTTTGTATTTCAAAGACTATAGAAATAACTCAGTTGTTTGACTTTAAATATTTTAGACCAACTCCTCATAATCTTATGAAATGGAAAACAAAAACACAAGTATGCAATGCTTCTTCCAGGTATAAATAATAAATGCCTCATAAATGACAGCAAAAAAATACTAGAGATACATGAACTCCATATTCCCTTGTGATTTAAAGGTTATTGTCTTAAGGTAAGTTTGGAGAATACAATCTTTGTGCCAAATATAATCTGTATGCCAGAAGATAGTATCAGTTAATCGTAGCTCAGAGGAAAATATTTATTAGTTTTAATTTTTTAGTTGCATTATTCATGGGCTACATTATCACTAGGGATTATGTCATAGTCATAACGGGTATATTGTAAAAACTGGGTTTTCTTACCTGGGAAAATTATTGAAAATTAAAATAAGATCAAGCTGTTAAGTTTGCTAACTATGGTTGTTGGGTGGGTACGTAGGTGGGTGGAGAAGTAGCTGAAATCTATCCCCTTAGTCTTTATTAGTCTCCTTGAGATTTTCTTCTCTATGTCCCAGTTTTTGTGGTTGCCTGAAACTCCTGAAATGTTGTTTCATCCTCTTAAGTGAAGGCTTGTTAAAAATGAGACGATCAAGCCGGGCACCAGTGACTCACACTTGTAATCCTAGCTACTCAGGAGGCTGAGATCTGAGGATTGCAGTTAAAAACCAGCCAGGGCAGGAAAGTTCGAGAGACTCATCTTCAATTAACCACCAGAAAACCGGAAATAGTGTTGTGGCTCAAGTGGTAGAGTGCTTTGAGCTGAAGAGCTCAAGGACAGTACCCAGGCCTAGAGTTCAAGCGAACCCAATGACCAACCCAAAAAAAAAAAAAAAAAAGTCTTCTAGGGCAGGTCCTTTTGAGGGTCATCTCCCCTCTACCTTGTGTCGGCTATGTGTGTTCTTCAGTAGTGTCATGTTTTGTTAAGTGTATGTGGTTCTGAGTTTGCAGTGGTCAGGCGTGAGGGCTGGCATACTTTGCTACTGATGCATATGAACTCTGATTCTTTTAAACTTGAAATCTCAATATTACATTAACCGCTAAACACCAAACATGCCACAAGGAACCCCCCGCCCCCAGTCCCGAGGCTTGAACTCTGGGCCTAGGTGCTGTCCCTGAGTGTCTTTTGTTCAAGTCTAGCACTCTACCACTTCTAGTTCCACTTCTAGCTTTTTCTATGACTTAACTGGAGATGAGTCTCACAGACTTTCCTGCCTGGGCTGGCCTCAGTCCTCAGAGATATCAGCTTCCTGAGTAGATGTGAGCCACTGGCACCTGGCTCACAAGGAAGTTTGATTGAAGAATAGTAAGACTTAGTATGAAATCCTAGCTACAGAATAGTTCAGTTAAAGGGTTCTCATTCAGTATATAAATGCAAATACATGAGGAAATAATACAGCAAGTAAATGTCCATCTACTGTTACGTACTAAGCTCTCAAGGTAACTGTTCAGCTCTGTGAAATGTATGGTGAAGTAGTTTCTACTATTTAAGAAATGCTGGGGTTACCATTTTGCTATAGTTACTAGGATTTTTATCTAAATAAAAGTGGCAAATAATTGCTTTGGACCAGAGACAAGTTATCTTGTTTAATTTATAGCTATTTACATAACTTTTATACAAGCCTAGCCCCAATTGCTTTTATGGGTGGATTAAGTGGTTTGCACCGGAAGAAGAGAGTTGGTCTAAGAATTATTCTAGAGGTTCTATGTGTTGGATGAGTTGTTGTGTGATAGTTTGACTTCACCTATAGTCTGAGGAAGAGATGGTTTAGCCATGATGTTTAATGTAAAAGCTAAGAAGAGCATTAGTTCTGTATTTGAATACCACTGTTTAATTGTCAGGAATGGTTAACAGTCCACCAGAACCACGTGTTTATTGTATGTGGTAGAACTTGAAAGAATTCGCCCTGACTTTGTAGAAACAGTTGCTTTCTGCTCGTACTTCTAAAGCAAATATTTAGAGAAGTTTGAGAGATTGCAGCCACTGAAAGGAAGATGGCAGCAAAGGCTGCATCCTTCCTCCTCCACTGTGACCTGGACTCCACTGCGAGGAGTTCTGGGGAGATGCTGACCTAGAAAGTAGATGAGTAATATGTTTATAGACATAACAAATTCCAATCCTCCTGGAGGCAGTAAAACCTCTTTGAACCCATCTTGCAAATAAAACTAAAGGATTCATGAACAGCCACTAAATCAGGTAAAGGAATGATGGACTTAGTAAAAAAAAACAAAAGAAATTATACAAAAACACTGTACTTTTATTTTTTAACTCCATACAAAATTGGTTAAAAACATTAAATAGGTAATGAGTTTTACTTTGAAGATTTATTAAGTCAGTTTTTTAAAAATGTAATCATTTTACTTTGGTCACCTGAGCCATCTTCTAGCCCTTTCTTCTTTGTTACAAGCAGGTGCTGTATATAGTAACTTTCTCGCTTATATCTTGAAGGAGGGAACGGACTTCTCCTTCTAACCTAACTAATTCTTGAGCTTTATCTTCTAAATATTTTTGATTATCTTCATATTTTCTTTCTAAATCTGTGGAAAAGAAAAAGTATAGTATGAACAAGTTACATTTCAACTATGTGAAAATTTGCAAGGCTCTACTGAAACTTGGGGCAAAGTGAATGAACTTTCAAAAACCTTTTGAAGAAAGGTTCTGTCCATGCCTTAATTTAAAATTATTTTATAAATTTGAGCCCAGATAGAAAGACCCACCTTTGAGTAGTTGCAGTTTGCTATTTGCTTGAGCCAAAAGTGTTTTTGCTTCGTTTTGTAGCATTTCAGCTTTCCTTCTGGCATCAGCTGACTCTTCAGTTTTTTTGGCAATTAAACTTTCTACTTTTTTATACTTTTCATCAAGTTCACCATCCAGAGTCTGCAGTTGCACATTAGACACAAAGGGGTGGTAAATATCAATAACTGCATAACTTTCAGGGCAGGCATGTTGTATTAAAAGCCATCACAGGTGTATTCAGGCTTCATATCATGATTTTTAAAAACATTTCAGTGACATTTTAGGATTACAATATATGTCTCTAGGGCTACGAGCACTTTCCTATAGAAAAATTAGTGTAACTAGGAAAGCAACACAAAGTAGATTAGATAATCAAAGAAAGTTGTTTGGAGGAGATTGAGGGCCATTTGGATTGAGAATAGTTTAGGGTATTGACAGCAAGAAATTAGAAACTTAATGAAAGTATAGAAAGAAAGGATTTTTTTTTTGCACTGTTCAATTCATTAGGAAAAATAAGAGGTCATTTACAAAAGGCTGTGTAAACAAACTACCTGGGAGATTTATGCTCTCAGAACTGCAGAAATGTTAACACAATGGGAAAGTTCAGTACCACAATGTTGAACTTTTCTCACTGTTTACTTTCTTCCCAACCAGAAGTATAGGAAAGTTACTTTTCTGAAGTTCCTCAAAGGAACTTAATAGTTTAAGTCCTTGCCCACACACTTAAATATGTGTTCCAAGCATGACTTGGCCTGTAGCTAGCCTGACAATCTTTTGCTAAATATATGCTGAACCTCCCAAAGAAAACCATGGATGAAAGATGTAAGATTTGATTTCCCACTAGCTACTCTGTAGTGAATGAGGTATTTCCATTCTGCTTGCAAAGTATTCTCAATACTTCAGATAATTGAGAAATGACCAGGTAATGGTATGACATAAAGTTCAAATTGAAATATAGTACAGAAATATAAGTTCAGTATGCTTAAGACTTCTACTCTTAGGTTAAAATAACTTCATTCTTCTAAACTGAAAGGCAGAAGTCATGTTTCCCTATCCACCTCTATTATTTTCCATCTGTATCTCTATAGACTGCTATTTTAACATCGGTTCTCTGGCATATTTCTGGTTAGTGCCCATATTAGGTTTCTTATTACTTCCACAGAAGACAACAAAGAAATGGGTTTCATCTTTACCAACTTAGCTGTGAGGTTATAAAAATGATGTTTACCTTCTTAACATCGTCTGCGTTTTGTTTCACAGTGTATACTACTTTTTCAATATATTCGGCCTCCCCAGAGTTCTGAGTAGCCTTCCGCTTAAGTTCCTCTACATTCCTCTCTAGCTCACTGATGCGCTGGGAGGCGTTGAACAAAGTTTCTTCAGAAGCTACTGTTTCAGATTCAATCTAAAAGAAAAATATCCAGTAAGCTATTAGTGTTAGATTAAAAACTATAAGGATTAGATTAAAAACCATAAGGAAATCTGAATAAATTAGGGTTCATTAATTGTAACAAATATGTCATACTAGGAAACAGTGTGGGGTATATATTTTTCTGTATGATCTCTATTACCTCACACCTTTTCAAATAGTGTCTTTGAAAAGGAGTGTTGGACATAGGGTGGATCAAGGGGGAGTATCACGCTTTGAGGCCAGCCTGGGAATAAAGTGAATCCTTAACTTGGAATATAACTAATATAGAAGTGAGGTTATGGGCATGGCTCAGGTGGTAAGAGTACCTGCCTAGTTAAGTACCAGGCCCTGTGTTCAATCCTCATTACTGTCCCTTCCCCTAAAAAAAGGAAGTATTAAAAGTTTAGTGGAAGACTTAAAGACTATTTTGTAGCCAGGTGCTGGTGGCTCACGCCTGTAATCCTAGCTACTCAGGAGGCTGAGATCTGAGGATCTCGGTTCAAAGCCAGCTTTGGGCATGAAAGTCCATGAGACTTATCTCCAATAAATCACCAGAAAACCAGAAGTGGCGCTGTGGCTCAAGTGGTAGAGTGCTTGCCTTGAACTGAAGAGCACAGGGACAGCGCCCAAGCCCAGAGTTCAAGCCCCATGACCGACAAAAAACCCAAAAAAACTATTTTGCCATTTTTCTCTAGACCAAAGGAAATAACTGAAAACTTGTATGAAATGCTCAACTTTGATTCTTGCTCCATTACCTTTGTATGTTAACTCACATTATTTTGTTAACTTACGATGATCTGAGACTTTTTTTTTGTTGGTCTTTTTTTGTTGTTGTTGGTCATGGTGCTTGAACTCTTGGCTTGGGCTCTGTCCCTCAGCTCTTCAGCTCTAGGCTAGCACTCTACCACTTGAGCCATAGCATCACTTCTGATCTTCTGGTGGTTTATTGGAGACGAGTCTCATGGACTTCCTTGCCGGGACTGGCTTTGAACTACAATCCTCAGATCTCAGCCTCTTCAGTAGCTAGGATTATAAGCGTGAGCTACTAACTAACTCCTGGCTCTGATAGAAATTTTTTTCTTAACATTGAGAACCACCCCTGACCAACTTGATATGTTGGAGAGGGATTTCCACACAAACTTCCAACATAGCATGGGAAAAAATAGTATTAATGCTAAATGTTAACTCTAGTAGTGGAGGTTGTTAATTAGAGAAAATGTGGAGACTTGGAATGTTCCTTTTAAAAAGTGTGTGAGATTACATGACCTGAGAAAGTTACAGCTGAAAACTATAAATACTGAGTTTTTTTAGTGGAAAAAAAAATAGGCAACTGCTTAAGGATCTACAATTTGATCTCTTTTAAAGGAGAATCAAACTTTTAAAAAAGCTAGCAAGCCAAAATAAGCCATGATACAAGAACTAATTTCACTAGCAGTTTAGGCTTTTTTTAAGTTCTCAGGTGTGGGTGCATATGCCTAAAATCTCAGGAATGAGGAAGCTAAGAGAGAGCTATACGTCAGCCTGTGTGGTTGATATATATCATTTAAAGTAATCTTCAGGATAGCTGGGTACCAAACCAAATATTTCACCTGTAATACAAGTTTCCAATTTGCGTGCATGCGTGTGTGTGCGCGTGCGCACATGCACATACACTGGGGCTTGAACCAGCACCTGGCTTCCTTAACCTTTTTTTACTCAAGGCTGGTTGCTCTATACCACAGGAGTCCCAGCTTTACTTCTGGCTCTTTGGTGGTTAACTGGAGAGTTTCAGGCTTTTCTGCCTGGGCTGGCTTCTAATCTAGTTCTGCAGGATTACAGGTGTGAGTAATCACAGCCTAGCTCCAATCTGCTTTACAAAACAGTAATTTTCTTTACATGCACTGAAATAAAGTTCACTAATATGCTAATAGCACAACTAAGAGCTTTGGACAACTAAAACATTTCTCTAAGTATATTTCTGAATAGAAGGGGCATTATGTGGTGCTAAAATTTGAGGAGCAATTTACTGAGGACCTGGCAGAGTTCATTTCCCCAGAGCAACAACAGGGGAAGATAGGTTTTCTGTCAACTAATGCTAGAAGAACATGCTGAGAAATCATCTCCCAAGGTCTTGAGTGGAGGGGTAGGCCTGAGACGGCCTGGATAACACTCCGTCCAGTTTTAGCATCATGTGAGAGAATAGTTCAGGTTTGTAAGTGAATTATTTTAGCTACCGAGTTGAATTCCTGTTCGTGGATTTTTGAATAAAAGAATACATACATAGGTCTTTTCACCCACAATGTAAGCCAGCTGTTAGCATCTCACCGAGGTCAGCAGGGTCTGGGTTCCTTGGATATCCTCGTCGGCTTGTTTGATTGCCTTCTCTGCTGCCACCTGGGCCTTCTCTGCTTCTTCCAGAGCTTCCTTTACCATGTCTGCAGTAACTTTAACATCTGTTGCACTTTTGCTGCATAGAATGAAGTACTGTTAATTACCAAAACTATTTTCTCTCAGCCCCTTCCTCTATTCTAGCTCCACCAGAAGCCCCCCCCCCCCCCCCCCCCCCCCCGTGTGCCATCATGTTCTAAAAGAGCCAGATACCTGGCTCTTTTAGCTTCTTCCAACAATGTCTCAGCTCTGGCAATGTCAGCAGCACTCTGCTGTAGAATAACTTCTACTTGAGAAAGGCTTTCCACTCGTCCACGGATGTCTTCCGTCAAGCTTTGTAACTGCTCTGGGGTGCTAGGCATTTCCATTTTCAGTACTTCATTAGCAACTGCTTCAATGCTGTCCAAATCAGCACCATCCTCTGAAAACAAAAGTGAAATCAGAGATGGTTCACTCCCTCACCCATATTGGCCATACTGAAACCACCCCAAGGCACATGCTTCCCATTGAAGTGAACAACCTAACTGGGTGAGAAGATGAGAGCTACGAGCATGAAGATAACTGCAGAAAGGCTGGAGTAGCAAGGGTATTCCACAGAGGATGAAGAACTGACCAGGTCTGGAAGGAAAACAATTTCAACCACACATTTAGATTGGAAGACAGAATGGGTGGAACATGTCTCTACACAGGGTCCTGTTTGAAGTGGGGATTTGAAGGCGTGAGAACTTTTGAGGTTGAAAAAGAACTTGCTTCTATCCTTTACCAGTTATCTAGACTGAGGAATTACAGAAAAGGATAGAAATCTAGTAAGAACCAAGAAGACCAGGATATAGAGTACCAGGGAAGCCAAAGAACTTCAAATGTTAAGTGCAACAAGTGGTTAAAAAACATGACAATGTCAGACCTCACTCATTTCAATTTCCCTTTTTAGACTGTCAGCATAAAATAGGGACACACACAATTTAAAGGAAAATATGTTGGAATGATAGCTCCAGAGGACACTCCCAAAGATACAGCCTTGGCAAATACTGGTAACAGCCATTCTCCCTTCTCACCTAATGATCAAAATGGCATTAATCTTATTAGTCTGCCAATTATTGTGATCAAACTCCATTTTCCAGTTACATTTATGCATGGGCATGTGACTTGCTTCTAGAGGTTTAACCGCCCCCTCTTACAAAAAGATAAAAATCCTCTCATTAAATACTTTGTTTTTATGGGAAGTCTGAAGCCTTGGCAGCCACTTTGTAACCATGAGGGGCTTCATGGTTACAAAGAAGAAGAAAAAAAACCTGCTTAAGATGGAAGAGCAGAAAGAAAGTACATAAAACTTCAGACCCATGAAGTCATACTCTTGACATTACGTGAGATAACAATGGTCCTTTTTGATGAATGCAGTTGAGTTTTTTCTAACCTGCAGTCTACACCATCCTTACTGACACTTGATCTGTGACCAGCAACACGTGGGATTCTAGACATTTGTTGGCTCAACAAAACCCTGAATGTGTAGAACTCTCACTACAGATAGGTAGGCACTCTGTAAGTAACATAATTATAAACTTTGGGCCAATACCAGAGTAACAAAGTGTTTCTGTAAGTTTTTAATGATACTCAATGTAAATTTTGGCATAAGTTCTAAATTCAGTGCTCAAAAGTAAGTGCTTTTGATTTCTGGATTTGTTTGATTTGGGAGTCACATCGTGAGAGCATGTACTTGCATGACGTTTGAGAAGGTTATTTACACATACACAGAAGCTTCTTAAGAAATGGAAACTTTTTTTTGTCGGTTGTGGGGTCTGAACTCTGGGCCTGGGTGCTGTCCCTCAGCTCTTCAGCTCAAGGCTAGCGCTCTACCACTTGAGCCACAGCACCACTTCTGGCTTTTTCTGTTTATGTGGTGCTAAGGAATCGAACCCAGAGCCTCATGCATGTGAGACAAGCACTCTACCACTGAGTCACCTTCCCAGCCCCAAGAAATGGAAACATTTCTTTTTTTTCTTCCAGGGCTGAGGACCGAACCCAGGGCCTTGCGCGTGCCGGGCAGGCGCCCTTCCGCTGGGCTAAACCCGCAGCCCTGAAGCATTTCTTAACAGTATTTTTCTATCTCGAAGGTGTTAGTTAGACATAAAGTGACATTTCTAGTATTCTGCCAGAAATGGATTTTATCCAAAATTCCAGAACAATCTAAAAGTAAATGTAAATATGAAAAATTCCTTACCGGTCAGAAAGTCTCTGATTTGCTTGATCAGATTTCTCAGGTCCTTGTTGCTCTTGTCTACTTTTTCTTTGGTGGTGTTTGTTTTTAACAGAACATCCTGAGCATTCTGTTTTGCTTCATCTGCCCTCAGCTTCGCTTCAGAGACCTAAATATGAAGAATAAATCATCCATGAAACAACTTCACTCTTTCTAAACCAGATCAGAACGTTATTAGTAGTCTAAAATACAATGTAAAACAAAGCATTTGGAAATGTCTTGGAAACAAATTTCTCCCATTTGTGTTCCTATGTAGGCTGGAAATATTCAGCACACAAATTACCATACAGTATTCTTAGGGCTAGCATTTACAATTTATTCTTAACTCTTCAACACAGTAGTTTATAAAATGTCCTTTTCTCAGGTACCAATGTACTTCTGAAGTATATTTTAGAAGAACAAATGCCCAATGTTATTTTTGTTGGTTGTGGGGCTTGAACTCAGGGCCTGGGCACTGTCCCTGAGTTCTTCTGCTCAAGGCTAATGCTCTACCACTTTGAGCCACAGCTCCACTTTGGGTTTTCTGGTGGTTAATTGAAAATAATCACTGGGACTTTTCTGCCCAGGCTGGCTTTGAACCACTATACTCAGATCTCAGCCTTACAGGATTACAGGCATGAGTAACTGATATCTAGCTTAAAAAAAAAAATCTCTTAAATAGTTCAAATGCACAGCCTTTCTAACACAGCTTAATCACCCTAAAGATAACATGGTTATCTTAGATTATTGTCTAATAATCTATAGCTATTATCTTATAATCTTATAGCGAATGCCTAAATCTATTTGGGGGAAGGAGTTCTCAAGCTATGAATAAAACTTCTTCATCTCTTAATGACTTGACCATACAAAAACATGAACTTTCCTACTTGACATGGAAATGCTGTTAGCATTTGGAATTGATCTCTTCTTTTCAGATCCCCTCTAGTCTTCAAATGAACACCAACAAACATAACAAAAAAGTAAGGCCATCCTCTAAGTTACCATCTTGGAAAGCTGTTCCACTTCAGCCAGTGCGCTCAGGACATCTCGGTCAAAGTCCATGGCTTTCTGCCAGGCATTGTGGGCCACAGTCACTAGACCACCACAGCCAGGGCCCCCACATTTCTTCTGTCCTTCATCTGTTCTGCAGTTTGGGCCTCCACACTCAGTCTGGGAACAGTCTTCCCCTGGAGGCGTTCCACAGGTCTGCGAGGAGCCAAGGATCAGGCACAGGGTTAGAAGAGTCTGCTGCAGAACATCTGTCAGGGCCTGGGTGGCCCTAGAGAACATGCAGGTGGTCCTTGGCAGGGTTTCTTAGAAACATAGTGTTCACAAAGGCAGCCGTGGTACTCACTAGACGCTTGAAAAAGAACTATACAACTTGTGGGTGGGGATGAGAGGGAAAAACTGGGAGTGAGGGAGGGGATGACACTTTTCAAAAAGAAATGTATTCATGACCTGACTTCTGTAACTGTAACCCCCTGTACCTCACCTTTGTAATAGCAATAAAAATTTTAGAAATATAAAAGAAAACATTGAAAACAACAACAAAACCTTGTACTGTTCTGGAGATGGAGAGGAGCAAGGAGCTCGGGGAATAGCCAACCTGTTTACTACCAATGGATATCACACACCTGCCCAAGTGCATTAGAGTATCACATGGGGTCTGCCCAGTGTATCATTATCTACTTTGTCAAGTAGGATCCCACCAATGGGAGAGCCAAAGCATACTTCCCTCTTTTTTGCCCTAACCAGTCGCATTCAAAAACAAAACGTATGGTGGAACTTGGAACTTGTGTTAACTGCTCTGGTAAATAAGATGACATAGATAGCCTATTATCTAGCCCTTACTAACTTTCACACCTAGTTTGGAAGACAATCACTCCACATAAGTAGCCAAGAACAGCTGAATGTGGTAAGCAGGAAGGGAACTGGGAAGAGAGATGGCTGAGGATTTCAGTACTGGTGGACAGGGAAGGGTTTGTTGGCTGCTGATTTGAACAGGGGAAATGAAGACTATTACACATGTAAATGGAAAACAGTATAAAGAAGAGGCGGACACAGCTTTTCCAAATCGCATTCTACCACTACCTGGTCCAACTAGCTCCCCTTTTTTCTTTTTCTTTTTTGTCAGTCATGGGGCTTAAAATCTGGGCCTGGGCACTGTCCCTCAGCTCTTCAGCTCAAGGTTCACAGGACCACTTCCAGCTTTCTGATGGTTTATTGAAGATAACAAGTCTCATGGACTTTCCTGTCCTGGCTGGCTTTGAACCGTGATTCTCAGATTTCAGCCTCCTGAGTAGCTAGGATTACAGGTGTGAGACACCAATGCTCGACTTCCCCTTTCTTATCTACCATAAACTTCTCAAAGAGCACTGAGTGGTTACAGTACATAAATGCAAACTGAGAAAGCACAAGTGTGCTACATGATAGGAAAGGCAGGAAGAAAACTCTGTTTAGAGATGCCCTTTCATAGAAAATGAAAAACTAAATTAAAGAATTTACTGCAATGAAATACCATATTTCCTAAAGAGAAAGGACTTTATAAGAAACAAAGGTTATAATGGACACAATCAACTGATTAAATGTTTTTTTTTTTTTTGGGGGGGGTCCGGTCTCGGGGCCTGAACTCTGGGCCTGAGCGCTGTCCCTCAGCTCTTCAGCTCAAGGCTAGCTCTCTACCATTTGAGCCACAGCGCCACTTCCGGCTTTTTTCTTTTTGCTTATGTGGTGCTGAGGAATTGACCCCAGGGTCTCATGCATGCAAGGCAAGCACTCTACCACTGAGCTATCTTCCCAGCCCTCAACTGATTAAATGTTAAGGTAACCATAATCCCTTATTACTAATAAATAATCTTTCACATGCTTGGTTTACTATGCATAAGGATCTTTGGAAAATGGTTATTGTGTGTGATGTAGAAGCGCCTGAGTCCCATTCAGGAAAAGAACCTAAAACTAGGGCTGATTTCTAAAAGCGGTGTGACAGCACTCTATCTGTTTTGCTTCAATGAACAGGAGCAGACATGAGAAAACCAGCTGTGGATCTAGCTATAGGTCCACAAAAGCTCTAGAGGGGACAAAAATCTCTTTACAAGAAAATGACAGACTAAAGCCCATAGAGTTCTCACACGACAAATGACAAAGACAAAAGAACTGGAGACTGGCAGGTAGCTCACCAGGTAGAAAAAGCCTGACAGGAGGAAGCAGTCATTTATCAGGCTAGAGGCATACTCCCGCCTGCCACCCACTCCCAAGCCGTATTTGGTTACAAAGCAGAACTCATAGGAAGCTTAGCTGCTTCACACTGCAGTTCATAAAGATTTTATGACAAGGGAAGAGAAAGAAAGACTGAAAGGACTACCACTTCATGTCTGTGAATAACAACTTAATCTAATGTTAGGGGCATTGCTCTAGGCCTTCATTATTTTTTTCATTTAATAAACGTTGACAAGAGATCTATGTACCGATCATCTCCACTAGATACAGAAAAGCTTCCCAAGATAATATCAGTCCTTGCAGGCATCAATAAAATCAGTCACAATACAATGCAAAGGCATATTTTTGTCTATTTCAGAGAAAGTGGGGGAGTAGGAAAGGAAAAATGGTGGCTAAGACAAAAGTGGTAATAGTCTCAACTCGTCTCCATACACCTTTTCCTTTTACTGTGTCCATTTATAAGGCTGAGAATAAGCAAGCCTTCGTCTATTAAGCAAAACAAAAACCAAAATAAGAAACAATCCCCTGAATTCTTGTTCGTGCCCTTCCATGAAAAGCAGTAAGGAAACAGGAATTTCTCTGGGCCTATTTCCTGATTTTCATTCAACTCACTACTCAATTTCATTTGGCTTTAGAGTTACTTTGTAAAAGCTTCTAAGAAATGAATATATTTTCTTCACCAGAGATGAGAACCAGAACAAAGGAACACTTTAGCTAACATCCATGGAAAATGAATGTTTTTGCTTTATGATTTTTTTCCTTTGGATAAGTCTCATTGGAATAATTCAGAATTCTTACACAGAGATGGATTTTTTCACTTCTAATAAAACTATGTCTACATTATAAAAATCCAGTATCATTAAAAACCCATCCAGTTAATATAACAGTATGAGAAAGTAGTCATGGATTCTGGAGCTCTATCACAGAGAAACAGCTAGTGGAGAGGGAATGCTGGGGAAACATGGTTTTCTTTCTTTCTTTCTTTTTTTTTTTTTTTGCTGGCACTAAGACTTGAACTCTGGGCCTCACACTTCACACCTGGCTCTTTTACTCAGTGCTGGTATTCTAACTACTTGAGTTACGTCTCCACTTCCAGCTTTTGCTGGTTAACTGGAGATAAGAGTCTCAGGCTTTTTTGTCCAGGCTGGCTACAAACTGCAATCCTCAGATCTCAGACTCCTGAGTACCAAGGATGACGGGTGTGAGTCACTAGACTCTAGCCCCAGGCTGTTTTTCATCTGTCTGGCTGTAGATGATCCACACAGTAGCCTAGTCACTTGAGCCATTACTGAGTCATCCTGCAGGTTCATTTGCAAACTGCACCGTGTTATGGACAAACCGGAGTTTTTTTTTCCTGCTAAAAAAATGAAGGGAACACAATATAAAATAATATTTATAAAAATGATCTCCAATAAAATAAAATAAATTAAAAAAATAAAAAAAAATAAAAATGATCTCCAGGAAATGGAAACAAGAGTTTTTTTTCCCTTTGTAAAAACAACAACAATAACAACAAAGAACACATGGATGTGAAGACAAAGCCCAAATCTTACCATTTCAGCAGCAGCTGAAAGATCTAGACTTTGCAATTTGCCTGCCAGTTCGTCAAGAAGGCTGGCCTGTTCTTCTTGCTTTTCCTTGAACTGGGACTCTTGCTCCATCAGCAAATCTTCCACTCTTTCTCGCATGGAAGCCGACTGGTCCACAGTGTTGTTGGGATCCGTGGTGGTGGCATTCACCCTTTCTTCAGCCTCAAGAGACATCTGGAAGTACTTGGTAATACTGTCCAAAGCACCTGGGGGCAGGAAATGAAACTGCCCACAGTTAATCTCCCTGTACATGATTTCCTCAAGTAGTGTCCATAATTTGGGGTCTTCTGACTCTAAGTTTACTATCAGGTTTTAGATTCAAGGAAAAATCTTCATGAAGAAATAGAGCTTTCCTCTAGTGACCACTGAATCTATTCTGTCCAATTAACACCTAGTTGGAGGTCAAACATCTGGGTAAAAATGAGACAAGAAGTCAATTGTGCAGTTGTCATGTCTACACATAAGCAAACATCAAGTTTTTTCAGATAACTGCTGCCAGGCATCCTGTAGTTATATCCAGATGATTTTTCCCTTTCCTCATTTAGCTAATATCAACTAGTATCAAATGACTAGTATTCTCCATGACATGTTTTGGCTTTTGGGGCTTGGAGCAGAACAAGAACAAAAAAGTCAGCTGTGGGTAAAACAGGACAACTTAACATGTTCTAATATGTTTCTACTTTGTTTTGCTTTTTGGGGGGGAGGGTTCTGCATGAATTTGTGACAGATCTGGAAATAGTTGCTGACTGGCTTCCAAGTCTTCCTATTTCTGGAAAGTGAAAGGATTTGCAGAGTTACAATTTGATACTTTAATTATTCAAAAGAGTCTTTCCAAGGAAGGCCAGAGAGCTGAAACACAAGCTGGAAAAATTAGAACATGGATCTAAACTACCACTTGCCCTGTGGGACTGTTGCTATGTCTCTTGGTTGTACTGTGTTGCAAGTGACAAATTAGTACCACAGGAAATTGTGCCTCATCTGTGTCACAGACTCAATAAGCAACCGTTTTAACACTATTAGAATGTATTTTTTAGGTTATTCCTTTTATTAAAAGGGTAGACCATAAAATCCTTTGTCCAGAATTGAAGGTTCTATGTAAGAAACGCTCACCTCGAATATCTGAGTTTTTGATAAATTCTAGTTGTTCAGAAAGTTCATTGACAGTCTTGTCCAGGCTTTTTGCTTCTGCCTGAAGGAGGTCCAGTTCCCCAGCTGTGCTATTGTTTTGTGAAGCTGTGTCAGCTAATTTTACTTCTACTTGAGACATCTTTTCTGTAATGTCTTTGGTTAGTTTCCTGTAAAAAGAACAATAAGCTTATTGATGTAAAATAAACCAAAGAAGCTAAAGTCTAATTTTTTACTTTTTGTTTTCTTCTTGAGGCATGGACTTGCTTTGTAGTCTAGTCTGGCCTTGAACTTACAATCCTCCTGCTTTTCACTTCCTGAGAGTTAGAATGATGGGAATTTGCCACCATACACACACACACACACACACACACACACACACACACACACACACTCATTTTTATACTTTCTACTAACATTGTAGTCATTTTCTGTGATTTCAAATCAGTGCAGCGGTATGTAACAATTCTATCTTGAAGTGCTGATTTGGTTCTTATAAGGGAACCGATATCTCATCATTTGTCTTTCACTTACAACTGAAGAAAACCACAGAGGAACACTCTGCTGTGGTAGTAATGGGTGACCATGGCAGGGCAGGATTCCAAGCTCTGCAGTAACCAGCTCAGGCCAGGTGAGCTTCGGGCTCATACGTAACCAGCTACAAGCCCACAGAATCCACAAAGTCTGAGACAGAGAGGACTCCTGTGTGGAGCTATACCCCTAACCCCCTGCCAGAAATGTTCTTCTCTGAACCTCAGGATCTCCTTCAAGATAGAACATGTAGAGAGGAGGCCTGTAGCCCACCATGAAGACAAAGGAGCCATCCAACCAGCTCTGCAGACACTCCCTGTCCCAAGCAGTTCCATCAAAGAAGTCTCCTCGCCCTAAGAAGTGAAAGTGATCATTCACTGGGAATGAAACAAAGCTTTCATAATATTGCCTTTGGAATCCAAATGCAGCTCATTATCCTCTTCATCTCTGTCTATAGAGTACAAGGTGTCTGTAAATTATAAGAGATTCATATTTGAGAAGATCGTACCTCAAGGACCTACTGCACCTGAATGAATAGAATTATCCTTCTAGGAATATGACAGTCATATAAAACCAGGGAAAATGACCCATCATGGTAGTAGGTTTGTTGTCTAGCTACTCATGAGGCTCAGGTAGGAGGATCACTCAAACCTAAGAAGTTGGGGCAACATAATGAGACTGTTTCTTAATAAGAAACACACACTGAAGTTGGGGACTTAGCTCAGTGGAAGAGTACTTGCCCAAGGCCCAGAGTTCGGTCCTTGGTTCTGCAAACAGACACAGACACAGATTACTTTTTTCCTGAGGCTTCTTCTTTAGTATTTGTTGTTGTTGTTGTTTTCAGTGTTTGGCTTTTATTATTTGTTAACTCTAAGGTCTCAACAATTATTACAATATTAAAAAACAAAACCTAGCATTGTACTTTTTATTTTTTTCTCCCCCAGCAGTAGGACCAAACTCAGTGTCTGATGTATGCTAGACAAATGCTCACCACTAGGCTACACTGTATTTTGTATATTTTTTGTATATTTTTTATATTTTTACGTAAGTCTACTCTAGATCCTAAAACATGCATAACCCTCAAGGTTATGTTGTAGCAAAGGACAATGAAATTAATTTTCTTGAGATGATTACAATCTTCCTTATAAACTGTGATGGTGGAAACAGACTTGTCTCTGGAATGTCATCTGCTCACAGGCTCTCCAAGGTCATCAAACTTTATTCTGCCAGAGGTTCAGGAGACCCAGGCCAAGAATCATTTCCTAAAGGGCTTGCACTCAGAACACAACCGCCTGAGCCTTGCTACACATGTAAAAAGGCTGAGTTCTTAATGAACTTAGGTAAACTCCTAATTAAACTCATTAGTGCTCCACATAAGACATTTCCTAACATCTTGATGAACCACAATCATAGTACTGGGCATGAATCCTGAGACTTAAAGACAAAGGACCAGTTAAATACAGTCAAAAAGAGCTTGGGAAGGACAGGCATGTGAACTACTGATATCAGTGTTTCCTTTTCAGACATCAAGATGGACAATCTATCTGGCTTCTTAGGGATGCTGATTAAGCCAAGAGTGGTAATGCTAGCAACTTGGGTGGCAGAGATGAAGAAAAGGTTATGGTTCAAGGCCAGCTTGAATAAAAAGAAGGTTGCCAGACTCCATCTCAGCCAAAGGCTGGGCATCATGGTACCTGCCAGTTACTCCCAGCTACAGGGAAAGCATAATGAATGGTTGGATGTAGTGGCACATGCATGTCATGCCAAGACATAAAGTGAGATCTTCCTGGAAACTAACACAAAAAAGAAGCGGGAGGTGTGGCTCAAAGTCTGGCCTTGCTGTCAATCCCCAGTATTACCTCTTACCTTGAAGAACAACAACAACAACAAAAAGACAGATGCTAATTAAAGTCTGTTGTCCTGAAGTGAAGCAGGCTGCTCTTCCCTTCCTAGAAAGGGAGTGTGCCAGAAGACCCCCACAGCAGCAGACAAACACAGCTGGTGCCCCACACGTTTCCTGTTCTGTCCTACAGCTCCTTGGTCTTGCCATGCTAGTTTTTGCCAATGGGAGCTGGAATGTTTGAGGGTAGGAAAAGGGCTGGGAGAAAGGGTAAAAAAAGGATTTTTGAGAAGTCTGGCATCTCAGTTCTTCCTCTCTTTGTAGACCAGTCTTCTAGTGGCCTAGACTAGGCTCAAATTCATGATTCTTCTGCCTCTCCCTCCCAAGCACTGGCATTAGAGGTATATGCTGCCAGACTCAGATAATTCTCTATGACCTGTCAAAAATTACTACTATCCAATCAGAGAAAAAAATATCCAGACAAATGGCTAGGAAGATTGTTCACGGTAAAGATTTTATCTATCAATCTATCTATCCATCTATCATAATTTATTTAGCAGTTACAGAGGCTTGAACACAGGGCCTTGTACATCCTAGGCAGAACTCCTACCACTTGAAGCCATACCTCCAATCCTTTTGCTTTTAGTGTTTTTTGTTTGTTTGTTTGTCTGTTTGTTTTTTTGAGATAGGCTCTCCCAAATTTCAACCTACCTCACTCTGCCTCCTGGGTAGTTGAGATTCCAAGCATGAATCATGGCACTAGGCCCTGTAATTTTTGACTTAAATGAATAAAGTATTGGTCTAGTGGACTAATTGGCTGAACAGCAAAAATTTGTTGGCATCTATTTGTGATGATGCAATTTTACTAGTAGTAGCAATACTTCCAAAAACAACTTAGATTTACAATGTTTTTGTTTGTCCATGATTTTGTAACTGTGCTATCATTTGAGAGGTTACTCCTGTGCCATTCTGTGCAATTAAATGGCCCCTCCAGAGGAGAGAGAAGAGTTCATTCAAGTCTACAAACCTAGCATACTTCTGAGACTCAATTAGGGATCTTCTGTCCCAGACCAGCGTTCATTCTAACTTACTGCCTCAGTATTATTCACGAGGATGAACACCTGAACCAAACACATATACATTCTACACCACAGGCTCCAGGTTCTTGGTTCCCACTGATGTGAGACCTTTTCATTCACTCACACAAGAACTCCCAGTTAAGACTGCTTGGAAATAGCATCCCAGAGTCTGTTTTCACTCACAGAACTAAATAAACCCAATGGAAACCATATGGCAGGAAATCTTGGCTGTTTAAAAGAGGCACTCACGCCTGTAATCCTAGCTACTCAGGAGGCTGAGACTTGAGGATCAAAGTACAAAGCCAGCCTGGGCAGGAAAATCTGTGAGACTCTTATCTCCAATTAACCATCAGAAAACGGAAATGGCACTTTGGCTCAAAGTGGTAGAGCATTATCCTTGAGCAAAAGAACTTAGAGACAATGCCCAGGCTCTGAGTTCAAACTCCACAACTAGAAAAAAAAAAGTCAAAAATACATTGCTGACTTGTTCCTGATTCTCCTGACTACTTACTCGGCTTCCTCAAAGAGATGTCCGATATTTTTCAGTGGCTCTGCTGCTGGGTTCTGGGCCAGGATGTCTTCTATCTCTTTAACCTTCTTCTCCACTGAGTCCACAATCTCCCGGTAAGGCCCGATCACGCCACTGATCTTCAAGGCCTTGGCCTTCTCTAGGAACCTGTGGGTCCTGTTGGCCAGCTCAGTGATAATCACGTCCCAGAGAGCAAAGCACTGGTGGCAGGGTGCGCAGTCAGGGAAGACCCCTGAGTAGCCCCGAGTGCACTTGTCACAGCGTGGGCCCTCAACACCCTCCACACAGACACACTGGCCCGTGGTCTGGTCACACTGCGGTGTCTCGATGCCCCGGGGGTCACAGTCACAGGCTAGAAGAGAAAGAGGGATGTTCATTGACCTGCTCCATCACAAGCCTCAAGGACAAGAGCTGGCATTTAGCGTCCTCTGTAAGCGTTAACAGCAGGAAGGCCTCAACAAAGCAGAGACCATTTATTCTGGGAGAGACTGCAGAGGTTTCCTCTAATGCACAGCCTCAACCTCTTCTTAACATGAAAAGTAATCATTTAAAATGAATGATCACTTTCTGAATACTTACTCTAGTCCAGACATTTTAAAACTGCTTTACCTGCATCATTTCATTGAACCTCTCAGCTACCCTAGGGGATGGGTATGTGAGAAAAGTGGTGTCTCAGCCCAGGTGTCACAGGAAGGAAAAGGCCAAGTCCGGTGTCTGATCCGGTGCTCAGCATCTCTAACCTCTGTCTGAACCTCCGTCCCCACCTGTTTCCTCCCCTGCCTCCTCTTCCCTCCCCTTTACAACAGGTCATCCGGACAATCCAGGTCCCCCTCGGAGGCTCTGAGCCCTTTGGTAGATGATACAACACAAAAGACCACCCTAAGACCCCTGACTCTATCAGGTCACAACACAAGCAGTGAGGACCTGGTAAAATGCAGTACACCTGATCAAAAGAAAAGTAAATATGGAAGAAATGCTAGAAATTAAACCGCATCATTTAAAGGCTTTTACTACATATAATCTACAAGTGGAGGTCTACCACCTGGACACCCAGCCTAACACTATAAGCACAGACTCATTAAATGTCAGCCATTCAGGCCCAAGCTCTCATTTACCCAGCTTAGTTATTAGCATTATATGCACAGACAAATGGCCCAGGGCAAAACAATACGTGGTACAGGGTACGACAGCCAACAGGCCAACGGCTATAACTGACAATTATTATAATGTGTATGTGTGTGAATCCTGGCTTAAGAGTTCCAAATCTTGGGCTGGGAAAGTGGCTCAGTGGTAGAGCGCTTGCCTTGCATGCTCAAAGCCCTGGGTTCGATTCCTCAGCACCACATAAGCAAAAAGAAAAAAGCCGGAAGTGGCACTGTGGCTCAAGTGGTAGAGTGCTAGCCTTGAGCTGAAGAGCTGAGGGACAGCGCCCAGGCCCAGAGTTCAGGTCCCACGACCGGACCCAAAAAAAAAAAAAAGAGTTCCAAATCTTGCCGGGCACTGGTGGCTCACGCCTGTAATCCTAGCTACTCAGGAGGCTGAGATCTGAGGATCACGGTTCAAAGCCAGCTCGGGCAGGAAAGACCGTGAGACTCCTATCTCCAATAAACCACCAGAAAACCGGAAGTGGTGCTGTAGCTCAAGTGGTAGAGCGCTGGCCTTGAGCTGAAGAGCTGAGGGACAGCGCCCAGGCCCAGAGTTCAAGCCCCACGACCAACAACAACAAAAAGAGTTCCAAATCTTGGGGCTGGAGGCATGGCTCAGGGGGTAGAGTGCTGGCCAATGAGCGAAAGCATCAAATACCCACTTCATATCCTGGTCTTGAACAAAGGGGGAAAAAAAGTCCCAAATCTTGCGTGGCGGAATGATTTTTCTTTCAACATTTGTCATGTGACAGTATTGACTGCATCTGAATAAGGCCTAAACACGCACATCTCTGGCCTTAAAACCATGCTGGGAAAAGGTATGAAATAAATATACTTTTTTTTCCTTTCTTTTTTTTGGGGGGCAGGGCGGGGGAAATCCGGCCGTGGGGCCTGAATTCTGGGCCTAGGCACTGTCCCTCAGCTCCTCAGCTCAAGGCTAGCACTCTACCACTTGAGCCACAGCGGCCACTTCCGGCTTTTTTCTTTTTGCATATGTGGTGCTGAGGAATCGAACCCAGGGCCTGGGGCATGCAAGGCAAGCGCTCTACCACTGAGCCACCTTCCCAGCCCTGAAATAAATATACTTTCTTTTCCTAACAATACTGTGGAGTACCAAGACAGGGACAGGATTTTAACCATGAGGCTTCAAGCACAGCAAGCACTTGGTTTGTTTGTTTGTTTGGAAGTCAGGGCCTGGGGGCTGTCCCTGAGCTTTTTCTGTTCAAGTCTAGCACTCTAACACTCTGAGCCACAGCACCCCCTCCCTGATGGATGTTTCACTAGCACCTTCCACGCCCTGCAGGGAAGGCAGTGTCCTATCCAGAGGTCCCTGATTACATTCCCACTGCAGTTTAGAATGCTCCAGTCCTGAACCTTTAGGATTATAAAACATACTATTGCTTAGTGTCTTTGGTTTTCAAACCTAACTTTGGGATTTCAAAATTAATCTTTAAAAAACCAGATTATTTCTGTCCAAGTACTTCAGTCAAGTCCTACAAAGGTTTTTATGTGGCTCATGGCTGGCACAAGGGATGCATGCATACACTAAATTCATCGTTAATTTCTCGGATGACTTCCATCGAGCACACACATCTTGCTCTCATTCTGTCACAGCTTTGGGGGAAACACTGCCCAACCCTTTAGGATAGTTTTTTTCACCCTAGGTTTTAGGAGACAGATAAGGCTTCCCTCCTTTTATCTGGGCACGGTAGAGTTTTGATAATTACCAGAAGGCAATGGGCAGTTCAGCCAAATGCCCGACATTCCTTTCCTTCAAGTAAGAAGTTAATGATCCCTGGAACCTGCGCTCAGAGCCGTGCTCTGCTGTGGGTGCACGGCACCACTGCACCAGAACGCATCAGGCTCCCATTTCAGATGGAAGCTGGGAACTGCTAACGCTCCTCTGAACAAGGGCTTCCATCTCTGCCTATTGAATTTCCAGCATGGTCTCTCTTGGGGCCTTCTGGGCGATGAGCCACAGATAACCACATTTCTAACTCTGTGAAAAGAAACCTCCCACCCTGGAGTATGCTCAGTGAAACTCTTAAATTTACCTGGCTAAAGCAAAGAGGTCGGGTCACACCTGCAACTTAAAACTTCATGGGTGCTAGCATTATGAAGGAAATTCTCCAGTCACCTCTTGCACCACTGAGATGGAGACCTAGAGAACCGTACACCAACCTTGCAGGCTGTTGCTGAGCAGGCCCCATGGGAGCCTTCTCTCCTGGAGCTCAGTGCTGCCTTCACAGGTGGGATCACAGGGCGGAGAAGCAAAAACTTTCTTTGGGAAGGAGAGGGCATATAGCAAAGCTGCTGCTTTCTCATTCAGAGGAACAGATCATAAGGTTAAAAAACAGCATTTTGGGGGAGGCTGAGGTAGGAGGGTCATAAATTTAAGACCCACCTGGACTACATAGAGTCTGTCTGAAGAGGAGGAGGAGAAGAAAGAGGAGGAGGAGGAGGAGGAGGAGGAGGAGGTGGTGGTGGTGGTGGTAGAGCACTTGCCTTGCATGCATGAGGCCCTAGGTTCAATTCCTCAGCACCACATAAGCAGAAAAAGCTGGAAGTAGCGCTGTGGCTCAAGTGGTAGAGTGCTAGCCTTGAGCTGAAAAGCTCAGGGACAGTGCCCAGGCCCAGAGTTCAAGCCCCATGACTGACAAAAAAAAAAAAAAGCCAGGCAATCCTAGCCACTCAGGAAGCTAAGATGTGAGGATCATGGTTAAAAGCCAGTCTGGATAGAAAACTCCATGATACTTATCTCTAATTAACCACCAAAAAACCAGACATGGCACTGTGGCTCAAAGTGATAGAGTGCTACCCTTGAGCTAAAAAGCTCAGAGACAGTGCCCAGTCCCTGAGTTCAAGCCCTATCTCTGATGGGGAGGGGGAGCAGAGAGACTCCAGTATTTAACTGAGACATGCTCATTTTAATTTGTCACAGAATGAATTACATTTTCAGTGAGATATGGTAATCCAATGTGAAGAATCACAAATTCAAGGCCAGCGCAGGCAACACAGACAGACCCTGCCTCAAATAACAAAATAGGCATGGTGACTTATAACCATAATCCTAGCTACTCAGAAGTTGGAGACCAGGAGGACTGCAGTCTGAGGCCAGTCAGAAGAAAGAGTTTACTTGACTCAATATCTTAACCAATCATCCCAGCTCAGTGGGACATATAAATAGATGGATCAGTTTGCCCCAACTGGTCAACAAGAGCAAGACCCAATTTGAAAATTAATGAAAGCAAGAAAAGCTGGAGGCTTGTGTCAAATGGAGTTAACACCTGCCTGCCAAGTGTGAAGCCCCGAGTCCAAACCCCAGTACTACAACACAAAGAATTACATTTGTATTTGCAAATGTGTTCTCTGGTCTGCAGTCATTACATTTCCTCCATGTTTACTGGTTTCTCATTTAAAGCATGACTCCTAAGAGGAAGGTACATGAAGAATATGGCACCCATTTTTAAAATGTTGAGGCTCACATAGCCAGGTGCCAGTGGTTCACACTTGTCATCCTAACTACTCACGAGGCTGAGATCTGAGGATTGAGGTTCAAAAACCAGCCTGGGCAGGAAAATCCATGACACTCTTACCTCCAACTAACCACCAAAAAGCTGGAAATGGAGTTGTGGCTCAAGTAGTGCAGTATAAGCCTTACATGAGAAAAGCCAAATGAGAGCTTGAGGCCCTAAGTTCAAGCCTCAGTACTGGCAGGTAGAAAAAAAGATATTGTAAAAGAGGAAAAACACCAGCAAGTCAATGTCAGAATGGGAAACTGGATATTGCTATTTCTGGACAGCTAACGTCTCTGCTTTCCTTTGTCCTTCCCTCTCTCCTCTAGACCTCCAGTGGTCGGAACAAAGGCCATACAGTTAAAGCTTTTCACAATCCAGTGACAGCAAACTTCCCCATGACTCCAGCAGAGACTGTTTCCTCAGGGTACTTTCCACAGCCTTGCTGCTACTTGTCCTTATTGTCCTCTAGCTAGGACAGCAATTTCCTCTACATACCAGCTGTTAATGAAGAGCTACAGGCCTGTGGAAAGGACAAGGGAGCCTGGGCCCCCAGGCCTGGCCTCAGATCCCAACTGTGTCCTCGATCTAATAGTATGTCTTTAGGCTAATCACTGGACCTCTGAATCTGAGATTAATCAACGGAAACCGGAGGCTATATTTACCCAGTGGGCTGTTTGTTACTAGCATAG